TATTTTCCCAGTTTTAGCCATATCTAACCACTCAGATACAATGGAGGTGACTGGGGTTTAGTTTATGGTGCTTAAAGTGTTGAACATTAACATTTTAAAAGATTCAGCAGCAACATATCCTTCCAGAAACCAGAATTACCCTGTTTGTTTTATATTGCACATATAATTAAAGATAAGCAATGTGTCAGCAATAAAAAGGGGAAAAAAACAAGAAATTCCAAATATTTATGTCCCAAAGATGCCCGTCCCTTTAAAATCAGATTTTCAATGAGCGCAGAGAAACCTTCCACTTTCAGCAGATGAGTGTAAAAAAATCCTTCTAGTTTCTCTGCACATACATCATTCTGCACAGTGAAGCTCAAACATCACACTGTAGGAACAAGAAAAAAATAAGCATATTTTATTCATATTCCTCCTGATCTCCATTGTTCTTTACAGTACATGCCCGGCAAAGACCCCAAGTACATCTTCTATAACTCCATTGTGTCCAACGATACTTCGCTCACAGTCAGAAACCAGCCGGTCAACTACACCTTCAGCTGCATGTACAGAGCAGCCTACCTGGTAAACAATGCAGTCTTCAGCCAAAGGTAAGCATCGATCCAGGACACGAGGTGACCGCAGTTACTGTGTGAAAGATGTGTGCATTCTAACCCAATGACTTGCAGTGTTTTTACTAAACCCTCTGCTTTTTCCAGAGTGGCTACAGTTTATGTCAACAACGGGAGTTTAGGCACTTTTAGATCACAGTTGTCTATGAATGTGTTCACGGTGAGTAGCCGCTCACAGATTCAGTTTCTCCAGTGGAAGCCTTTTGCAGCATGTTTAATTCAAATGTTTGATGTGTTATTTAATAAATCCTGTGCAGCTGTATGGAAAAATAAAAGTAGAATTTATTTTTGGTGTACTAGCACAACTTGTTAGATGCAAATTGAGATTGTCTTGCACAGTCAGTACATAAATAATAATATATTTTATAGAATTCAAAGTTCCTGTATGCCAAGGACGCTCCCTATGTGATTGACACTTCTGAGATCGGCTCTGAAGTCTTCATTGGCATCGAGGCAAAAGGACTAAGTAACAGGTATGTCAACAGATTTCAAAATGTTCCTGACATATATTTTATTACAGACTAGGCCCATTTTTTATTATGATTTGCTGTACCACCTCTCAGATTCAAAGTGGTAATAAACAACTGCTGGGCTACTCCTACTCCTTACTCAACAGACAAAAAGAGGTGGAGTCTCATCATTAACAGGTACAGTAAAATATATTAACTTAACTAGTACCCCTGCTCCATTAAAAATTAGTTAACTGAACTAAACTTAAACAATGTGTTTCAAAGTCAACAAAGGTAAGTTCACTGAACTCAAAAAAAGCAATTCAAGTAGCTTAACCCATTAAGTTTAATCAACAACTGTTTAGTCACAACATCAGACAGACGTAACATGATAAAATCAACAAAAACAACTTAAAAGACAAGTTTAAAAGACGAAACAGACAATAGAGGAAGACTTGACCCTATTTGTTAGCTTTTCAAAGAAACAGCTGGTAGAAATTTCCCTCAGAGAAAACATGAGAGTACTTTTGTACTTTAAGTACATTTCACAGCCTGTACTTTTCTTCTGTACTTCTACTTGAGTAAAGAATGTGTGTACTTTTTGCCACCTTTGGTTTTAACCCTCAAATATTGCATGCTGGGAGCTCTGCTGATCAGAAGTCAGAAAAAATCGTTTTTTTTTTAAAGTTCTTAAACTTTAAGGCGATAAAAGATTAGTTGCTGCTTCATTTCTGTGTGATGTTTTACAGTGCAGACTTCTCTATGCCAGTTTATGATTGGATTAACTCTCCAACAGATTCAACAGTACTGAAGGTAAAACTGTTGTTGTCTTTCAACAGCTGCTCCTCTGACAGCACTGTGACTATTTTTGAGAATGCCAAAGACAGCCGCTCCATGTTCAAGTTCAACTCTTTCCGCTTTCAACGGCTGGAGAAGGTGTCCACAGTGTGGCTTCACTGTGAGGTCCAGGTTTGTGATGGAGACAGGCTCATCTGTCAGCCAGTGAGTACAACACTTGTATATGATATCAACGTCTTCTACTTCTGTTCACTATTTCTTTCTCTCCACTTGCTCCGATTTAGAAATATTACGTACAGTATGTGGTGTCATTACATGTCATTAGTTTCTTGTACTGTACTTAAGTACAATGTTGAGGTTCTTTTATTTTGAGTATTTCCAGTTTTCTGCCACTTTATACTTCGCTACATTTCAAAAGGAAATGTTCTACTTTTACATTGCACAAACTTTTGTCCAAAAGAACATACAAATAAGAATTGGGCCCCCCCCTTAATGGTCCCCCAACCTTTTTTGGCCTATGAACTGTTCATCATTGTCAGTGTCTAGTTGGTGGCTCCTTGTCATGTATCAGATGTCCGTGATTTGCAAGTGATTTCCCATCTAAACTTCAGATTGTTAAATTTAAGAAGAAATAAAATGATGAATGGTAATAAGTGTGGGAGAGAGGAGATAATATGGAGACCCATGTTTCTATCTTTCCTCAAGGGCCCCTGCTCTTTAAGAAGTATGTCATCAGAGGCAGAACCAAGTGGGGGAATCCTTACTGCTGAGTTTCACATTAAAGGTACAGAACGCCATGTTGTATATACATGCTGAGGTGTGAACTTCTTAAATTTCTTAAAATGAAAAAATCCAGAATCTATGAATACAAAAAAATGTTCCTACTTCACTGAAAAGTGAACTGGAAGTTTTCCACATCACACTTAAGTTGCATATTGGACAACCATTGGCCTAAAAACTAGCTGTGAGATCAGAAATCCTGCTCTTCAATTCAGGTTCAAGGTGATTACAGAGAAACTTTCCTGCTTCAGCAGATGAATGTGAAAGCATCCTTCAGGGGTCAAACGTTCATGTTTAGCTACTATAGTAAACTGTTCAGAGTGCCAGGGGACTTTAAATACATAAATAGCAAACAGCAACATTGTTACTTTTTCCTCTTTCAAATTAAGAGACTCCTAATATCTGACTGTTGAATTCAAGGCAAATCAGGTACTTGTTTTTTTTTTTGTACTTTATAAGCTTTTATTTTGTATTATGTCTTATTATATTTATCTCTCCACAGGCAATGGGTCCTCCAATAATGGACACATGAAAGGTAAACAAATGTAATGCAGTTATAACTGTAACTGAAATGTGTTTGACTCTAAATATTCAGAGCTGTAGCCAGAATTTTAGAAATACAGAGGTCATAAGTCCAACGCATATATTTAATTTATTTAGTTCATTTTTTATTTATTGTGTTTCCTTCCTGTTGGTCTAAAAGTCATTCAATTTCAGAATTTCAAAATAACATTTAAATATATTCTCAAATCAGCCTATGAAATACTCACAAGGTGCATGTGTTGCAAAAACCCTCAAATTCCCAGAATAAAAGGAGAGATCATGACCTCAGTCTCTCCGTGTTCTGGCTCAGTTAATCTTGTTGAAAGCCGCTATATTTTCTTTGCCTTTCCCTCCACAGGCACCTCACTATTCATCCTGCTGGTGGTCCTGATAAACATGTGTTGGGATTTAGTAAATGGATCAAGAATGTAGTAAAAACAATTTCATTCAGTCTCATTTACATAAACATAAACAAACAGAGGGGAGTGTCACCCAGGACTCAGGGAGCGTATGAATCCATTCCTCCCCCACACTCAAATGAATGATTTTCTCATTTTCTCGCAAATATTATTTGTAATTAGCACATTTATTGAGATTTTCATATCCATCTGTTAATGGCTAATCTTTTAAAATGTCACATGTGTTACTTCACTGCTTTCTCCAATAAAGATCAATTGAAAATAAAAAATAAAAAAAATTAACCGTGTCCCTCTTGTTTTAAATTACTCACAAACCTTTAAAGATCCTCCAGGAATGCTCACAAAGTTAGTAAATAAATAAACAGTGTCATTCAATACAGAAATTAAAATCAGACTCTCACCATGAAAGCAACACGAGCAATATTGGGATTAGAAGCATCATTTGTTGTTTGTTTGTTGCAGCACTAAACTGAAACACATGGTCAGTGCTATTGCCATGGACCAAGTCCTTGCTGCAGCGACCACAGGTTCGAATCCGCCCTGTGACCCTTCGCTGCGTGTCGCCCAGCCAATGACTGACCAGTTTTTATAAAGTTAATTGTTCTTGTTTCAAAATATTAGCTTCATATAAGTGAATAAGGCTCACTGACTTCCACACAAAGTGCAACAAAAAAACAAATTAGAACAAAGTACAAATTATTTGATTGTTCTGTTTGTGTGTCCATGTGTTAATTATTAATTGTCTCCTGTTACATGCTACATATACGTTTAAAAATATAATTTTGAGTATTTTTATATCAAAATCCTTCTCTATTCCTTTCCTGATGAGTAATCTTGAATTACATACATTTATCCAATCAAATGTGATTGCCCACTAGCTTACCCCCAGTGTTGGAAAGTAACTGAGTACATTTACACAAGTACTGTACTTAAGAATTTTTTTAGATATTCAGGTCTGGTTCTGGTCTGGTTCGGGTTTTCAAACAGATGATTGATTAATATTATTACAAGATTGTAACATTGTAACAACATTGTAGCTGCAAGAATAAATAAAAATTGCTTTAAAATGTTAAAAATCACAAAGAATTACAAAAAAATATCTTGAGCTTACTTTAGCAAGAGTCTGAAGACACAAGTGTTGTAATCCAGGTTTTGAGCTGTATTTTCTCCTCATGAAATCTGTGTTTTCACTCCAGTCTTTGTCCACATTTTGTCTCCAGTCCTCCTCTTCACAAGTGGAGGAAACAAACTTGTTTTGCATACTGAAAATCCAAATCCTCCAAAATTGTCATTCCTTTTTGATTTACCAAAATATGGTCATAACATCCACTTAAATTTGCACCATAGGCATCGTTGCGTCTGTCATGGGAGCTCTGGTCACAGTTTTATGGGCCTTTTTCTCAGCAGCTCTGGCCATCCCTGGTTTCTTGAGCAGAGAGATATCAAAATAAGGTCAACACTGCATTACATAGAATACTACATATACTGACTGTGCTCGGATGTGGAGTGCTTGACTTGTCTCTGCTGGCTATCTTTATCAGAAATGTGACTGTGCTGTGCGTTAACTGTACCTCCGTTTGTTGTTTGAGACTGTCAGCTGGTGGAGAGCTGTAAGCAATAATAGGAGGATTAAATCCTTGTTTGTTCAGCAGCCAGTAGGTCTTATGAGAGCCTTTACCCTGTCATTGACATAAAACACACACACTGGTCAAAAACATGTCAAAAACATAGGCTGTACATCATTTACACACATTTTAAAGCGCTTTAAGTGGTCTCTAGACTAGAAAAAGCACTATATAAATGCAGTCCATTTACCATTTCCTTTGCATCTTATTAAACAAACAACAACAATGCAGAGTCTTAAGTCACCTTCATTACGATTTCCCCTCTTTCCTCCAGATCAAATGATCCCGCCTGGACAAGAATGTCAGCAGTGCACTGAGATATGTGAATCTTCAGGGCTGAGTTAAATACACAGAAGAGAGTGCCAAACATTTTAAAGTTAAACTTTTAAGAGCTTATTTTGCACCAATACCACCAAATACAAGTACACATTTGGGTACTTGCCAATACACAGTATGGATATGTGTATTTAATACCATTACAGTTCCAACAATAACTTGAAAAATGAAATGAAAAAAAAGTTTTCATAAGATGTCCCTGACTTTCTGTAACAAATTAAATGAAACTAATGCTTCTCCTCTGCCTACCAGCTCAACTAACTGAACCAATTATTGACATTTCACTAAAAAACACAAATGTCAACCTCATGGTAGCGCTAGACAAAAAGTCAGTCATTGAATTAATCTTCTTGGTACCATTATTTTTCTAGACCTCATTGACAATACATTGCAAAACTAATGGCATTGACTACATAGACAATCATTTTACCAACACTACACTTACACTTGCACAAACATTTATCTAAAGTCAAATCCAGAAGCTTCAAACAATGAAATTGCTCAATGAATAGCCTCTGCAGAGGTGCTTCTTCAGTTCACTTACGTAAGCTGTTACTTTCCATGCGAGAGGCCATGTTCACCGTGTCACCAAACAGACAGTAGCGAGGCATAGTGGTGCCAACCACTCCAGCAACCACTGGACCTACAAAACCCATAGCAAGATGATTGTACATATGGTAAAATGGAAGAGACAAAACCAAATAGTTCACCATTAATGGGACACAGAATTGGTTTAGTTCAGCTTTGCTGTCTCCATCAGTACTGCCTCTTACCAGAGTGTATCCCAATGCGAATTGCAAGACTCTCAGTAGGCATATGGCGGATTCTAAAGACCTTGATTGCACTCAGGAAATGCAGAGCCATTGTAGATATTTCCAAAGCGTGCTTAATGCCATTGCTGATCGGTAGACCACTGGCTACCATGTATGCATCACCGATGGTTTCCACCTAGTTAAGATGCAAAGACGGAAAGAAAAAAAAAGTTTTATTGAATGACAAATAAAACAAAACAATACAGTCACTATAATGACTTAATCATAAGTGATTATCTGCAATAAAATTCACTCATATTTGGTCCCTTCAGAAGGTTGCTATCACAACAGTTAACACAAATTTAACCAATCCTTACTTTGTAGACATCGTACATCTTGATGATGTCGTCAAAGAGGCTGTAGAGGTCGTTGAGGAATGTTACCACCTCCAACGCAGTGCTGACGGAGCACATGGAGGTGAAGCCCACAATGTCAGAGAAGAAGATGGTCACTGTGTCGTAGCTTTGTGGCTCCACTGATTTCCCCGCCATCAGCTGATCTGCGATGTACCTACGACCACCAATGATGCACTCACAAGGTAAGCAGGAGTAGTCATGGAGGCCCATTCAACTGGTGGAACTGTGGTCGTATGATTTGAATGGGTTACCAAAAATTGCTAGTTACATTTTCTAGTTCTATTTATCTGTCATGATTGACACAGCATAAATAAGTATATTATTGATCATTTTTGATGCTGTTACATCCGGTACCTTGGTAACATGCTGGAGAGAAGCTTGTCTGCACGGGTCTTCTCTGCTGTGAGCTGATTGGTCCTCTCCTCCACCACCTCCTCCAAGTGATTTGCATATTTCTCCAACTTTTCCACCATATTATCCAGTATATTTGCATGACTACAGTACAGAAAATCATGATCACCCCAGTTAAGGAGTTTATTTCTTCAATCCAGTTTGGTAGGTAGTTAGTCCTCAAAATCTCAAAATGTTCAGTCATTAATTTCTGGTTCACCGTTGGTGCAGATCCAGGATTTAAAAAGAAATATTTTTAACATTAAGGCAACATTTTTGTTATCATCACACATATCCAGTCACTACATACTATTTTGAGGCAGATAACACATTTAGAGGATTTTATTGCCCTGGCAAAGGTATGCGATCTCTAGCTATTCTCATTCGCATTCTAAAATTCAGGTTTGTAACCGTATTACATACTGCATCTGCAGGCCCAGATGAGAGACAGGGAGAACTATTTATTTTCTAACATTATTTTGGAGCATATTATGGGCAAGAAATGTCAGACGCCTCACCTTTCTGGGCTGATGTCCCTCAGCTGTCTCCTTATAGACCCAAACGGCGGTCGGTGGTCAGGGTTTTCACTCCAGCAGGCCCTCAGCAGTGAGTTGATGTTCTCATCACACAGCTGCTCACAAAGCACTGGTCGCAGGGGTTCCCTTTGGAAAGGTGTCCGCAATTGCATGATAATCTCTGGAGAAAATATAGCAGGAAGCAGGAATTATCGTAGTGTTGGAATTTGGGGATTTTTGAAATTGAAATGTCTCTGCAATCCTTGGATGGATTGGTTGGAATGGCGATGGCTCCCTCTACACAGACAGTTGGGATTTACCGACAAAGTAATCTATCTATACTCTCTTCAAAGCCAACAAAAACTAATTTGGAGATGCTTAATACATCTTAACGGACTGGATCCCTGGTAACTCAGTGCTGCAGTGTGACCCCTTCAAACCGCTGTGTCCTGCTTGGTTCGTGGTAAATGTGTGTAGATACATTTTTTTTTTTAATTTGTCACAAATTCACATTGCTGCCTGTATGAACCGTTTTGATGCGACATATCCTGGTACGTAAAGGCCTTTAGTCTTGTTATTATATCTTGATATTCTTTATATATGTATATATATATATATATATATATATATATATATATTGGGGGCTTTTATTGCTTTTAATCGATAGTGACAGCTGAAGAGTGACAGGA